TTTGACCATGCACTACGTGGCAAGGAAAAGACGGCATGGAAAGCCTTCCAGTTAGTGGCAATAAATTTTCTCGGAAACAACAAGGCAGACAACTACAGGTTGTTGGTGGAAAACCTCCTCAAGGCATACAAAAGCCTTGGTTGCAACATGTCACTAAAGATACATTTTTTGCACTCTCATCTAGATTTTTTCCCACCGAACTGCAGAGCAGTGAGCGACAAGCACGGCGAGCGATTTCACCAGGACATTGCAACAATGGAGAAACGCTATCAGGGCAAATGGAGCCCATCAATGCTTGCAGACTATTGCTGGACAGTGACAAGAGATGCTTCATTTAATGAATACACGAGACAAGCCAAGAAGCGCCGAATAGACACTGAATAGGACTAAACTATGTACATAATAGTTTTTTGTCTTTTGTTTCATAATAAATTTTATTTATATAATCCTTTTGCTGATTTTTAAAGTGTTACATAAACAGGACAGGTGAAATATTATCATGTAAAGCAACCATAAACACATGAAAAGATCTAGGTTTACAATTTATGATTAAAACTCTATCTACACAATATACATAGACATAAAATGTAAAAACTTAAATATCTTAGAAACAGTAGCCAATCAGTCGTTTTAATTGTCATATTTGAATTCAGCACATCAAAATACATAATAAATAGCACATTTTATCTCTGAAGCAGACGACTTCTCAAAAATTGTAGACCAGTGTAATTAGTAAAAGTTACATCCATGCTATTGAGTTCTTGACGTAAGATTGCTTATGATTCTTCCAGAAACAATGAAAGAATTAAAATTAGTCTTATTTCCTTCCTGTGGGATTGACATTCTAGAATCTTAAAAAGTGGAGACTTTTAAAGTTGTGCCCAGCATAAGTACAACAAGAAATAAGGCTGTTTTCTTGAGTACTCTGACAGAGGGAAGATTGCTGTGCCAAGACTATGGGAGGGTTTTTAAAAAAGGGGCAGGCAATAGAAAAGTTGGGGCAAGTTAGAGGTGAAAGAATGACACTGGCAGAACTGAGGAAATGAGTAAAGAATGAGAAGGAAAGGAGTTGAAGGAGGAGGTGGCTTTTCTTTAGGGACTACACTGTCAGAAATGTCTGTGCTGTTGGAGTTAAGACATCACTTACTGGGTCAGAGGTACGGTAACTGTTCCTTCCACAACAACTTGGTTTAAGGTATACTTGGCATACTTATAGTTTGGGGGTTTCATTTTAAAACCATAAACAAATAACTAGAAGATATGACTTAGTTGAAGGGGAGGTTAAAGTCATTTCAGATATGTCTCAGAAAAAAAAAGTAATGAGTGATATAAACAGTATAAGCTTTTGAGGCAGTAACACAAAAATGAACTTTGATTTTTCAGTGTCTGATAATGATATAAAAAGGCTATTAAGATCTGCTTTTTGTGTAAATACTTGAAACCTCTCAGGTAAAGGGTAGGGGAGTCTTTTTTTTTTAAAATCATTAGCCTTAGCTAATCAGTAAGTAGCTTTCTAGATCTGGCAAGTGAGTTAAGTTATATGGCCTGACCTGCCAAGGCATGTACACAAAATGGTCTCAAAGCAGGCATATGAGATAAAAAAGTAATGTAACAAATTTGTGAAAGTTTCTGTTTTATCTGACTGACTAGGATTATGTACAAACAGTATTTTAAGAGAAGACTGTGCAAGTGGTCACTTTCTTGAGGAAACAGTTTTAGATTGATTTAGGCCTCAAATTAAGGACTTGTACAAAGTTTAAAATACATCCACAACTTTTTTTTTAATTCTAATGAAAACCCTTTGAAGACCTTGGATTTTATTTCACCTTCCTCTGCAGCATGGAAGTGTAGGTCACTTGCCAGGATTTTCTGGGTATCTCTCACTTAATCATTTCCCTGTCATTGAGGGGGCCTTGGGTGTTTGTGTATCTTGGTTTCCCTGGTTCTTTGCAAAGGGTAGTCTCATCTCCAGTGAGCAGTAATACTTTGGTCTCATTTCAGTTGGGTTTAGTGTGTGCATGCTGGGTGGTGCGGGTGGCCTGTGATATACAGGTGGTTGGACTAGATGAGCTAATGGTCCCTTCTGGCCTTAAACTCTTAAGACATTGTTTGCTTCATTTGTAACCTAGATAATAAAACATGTTAAAGCACGTGAACCAGAAAGTAAAATAGACTAGAAATGTAGGCCACTGTCCTGCAAGCTGTGCCACACAGGCAAACCCTTTCACCTGTGTGGAACTGCAGTGACTTTATTAGGGCTCTTTATGGGCCCCTGGGGTCCACTTATGTGGAGCAGCTCGAAAGGCCAGGACTTAGATTGTAAGTCTTTTGTGGTAATGCACTTGTCTTTTCTGTGATGCATCTCTCATCTTTGTGGTATTAAAAAATAACAACTAGAAAAATCAAAACTTGACTTCTCTCTTATTTTGTCTTAATGGAGTGAAATGCAGTAAGTAAATGGCATAACTGGTGTAAAGTAAATCAGATTTTATCCTCCTACCTCCATTTATGGCTATGTCTCCAGTGCTACTGTGCTTCAGGAAGCTCTTGAAAAGCAGTGATAGCTTTAACTCTGGATGTTCAGTAATCAAAGGGCTGTTCAGACTTGACTGGCTTAGTTCCTTCCTTAGTATGGCAAGCTACACCACGGAACCTTTTCATGTCTAAGTGGATTTTGGGGGGGGAAGGGGGTGAGGGTTAGGGAGGGGACTGGCCATTAGCTGTAAGTAGCCATCAAATTCGTTAGCAGGAAATTTTGAGCACACTTTTTGAAGCAATATTTCTCTCCTCTTTTTATAGCTGTTGGAAAAACACAAGAATACAGAAAGCATGGTAGAGCTGCTTGAACTGTATCAAATGGAAGATGAAGCCTACAGTAGTCTTGCAGAAGCCACCACAGAACTGTACCAATACCTACTACAGCCATTCCGAGATATGAGGGAACTTGCAATGCTCAGAAGACAGCAGATCAAGGTACAAACTTTTTATCAAGAGATAAGCCATTATTTGTACTTGTATATAAAATAGCAGTGTAAATTGAAACCAAGCCTGTTATACCTGAATGTGGAATTTCATGATTTAAAATCGGTTGTTGCTTGAGAACCTTCTGTCTGTATTAAAATAACTTTAGACCAGTACATTTCTAGGCCTCCACTTCTTTTCCTCCCCCCACCCCCAAACTTCTCCCAGAATGACTACATACTGACTAAAGGGTGAGTGCACATCCACACACATTTATTACCTTTCAAGGTATTCCTACAAGCAGTAAAGAGAGGGTGGGGAGGGAAAGATTTATTTTTTTTTTTTTAATTTGGAGGGTGGGGGTGCTAAAGTGAGGAGAGTCATAAAAGTACCTAGATAGATATTTTTTTCCCTTGCAACCTGCACTGCAAGCTTTTAAACTAAACAGTACAAGTTTCTTCTATCATTGTCTTAAGCCTGTACCTAATGCATGCAATTAGCCATCATTTTGTTTAATTTTATGTGCTTGTTAACATTTTAATTCCATGTTCAAGTTCTTATTTAGTACAGTAACTCCTCACTTAAAGTTGTCCCGGTTAACGTTGTTACGTTGCTGATCAGTTAGAGAACATGCTCATTTAAGGTTGCACATTGCTCCCTTATAATGCTGTTTGGCAGCTGCCTGGTTTGTCCACTGCTTGCAGAAAGAGCACCCTGTTGGAACTTTGTGGGGGCTTGGAACCAGGGTGGACCAGCAACCCCCCTATCAGCTCCCCGCTCCCCTAAGTTCCCTGGGCGGCAGCTGCCCAGCAGGCTATCAATTGCCGGCAGTTCAGCTTTCCCTCCCCGCACTGTCGTGTGCTGCTCCTGCCCTCTGCCTTGGAGCTGCTCCCGGGAGCCTCCTGCTTGCTGTGCGGGGGAGCAGGGGGGAAAGAAGGGTGCTAATATGAGGGTGTCCCCCCTCCCCCCTGCTCCTTTCCCCTCGCTTACCCCATCTCCATAGAAAGGGGACGATGACACAACAGGGCTCAGGACGGAGGGAATTTGCTGGCAGCAGCTGCTGTCTCAACTTGCTGATCTACTTAAAGGGACAGAGTGTGAGGCTACATTAACAACAATGTGTTAACCCTTGAGGGTTCAGCCGAGTGCTAGTTCCATCATTTAGCAGTAAGACATTCCCTGGGAACTATTCCACCCTCTGACTCCACCACCTCAACCAAGCTTCGCAATCTTCATTGCTGTGTACAGTATTAAATTGTTTAAAACTTATACTCCCTGTGTGTGTAATTCTCTCTCTCTCTCTCTGAGAGACTTTCTTCTGGCGAAAAAAATGTCCCTGGAACCTAACCCCCCCCCCCATTTACATTAATTCTTATGGGGAAATTGGATTCGCTTAACATTGTTTTGCTTAAAGTAGCATTTTTCAGGAACATAACTACAAGGTTAAGCGAGGAGTTACTGTATGTGAAGTTTACTGTCTTATGGCTTACTGTGAGTATTGACTAATGTGTAAAAAAGAAAAATGTGCTTTCTAAAATCTTCGTTACTGTTGAATTATTTAGTGAGATTATTTTGGAGAGTGACTCCCCCCCAACCCCCCCCCCCCGTGTTTGCTAGTGAAAGCACTGGAGTAAGTTGCTAGTTACCTACTCTTTGTTTAATAGAAACATTGGAATAATAACAATGTACTTTAAAAACTTGTAATTTGGCCTAACACTAATGGCCTTTTTAAAATTAAGTTTCTACATCTGTTTTAGCTCTTAAGAAAAAACATACAATAAGCTAAAGTCATTAAACATTTTAATAGATGTATTCTGTTAAACTTTTAGAAAATCTTATATTGTCCTCATGTAGCAATTAATGAGCCAAAAATGATAATCATGAGACAGGTAGTTTCATCATTACTTGGTTGGGAATATTCTGCACTCTTGATAAAGTGAAGAGCCTTTTCTGGCTCTGTAGACATGTACTGTAGGTATAGGAGCCGAAATGGAGTCATTTAGTTTAATCTGTATAGTGAGTATGTTGTCTTGTCTCATTATGATTCCTTCCATACATTTATCAGTAGTACTTGGTGGCTTCAGGTTTTTTGTAAAAGAGGGGAGGTTGCGGGAACGATTAAAGAGTTTCCAAAAAGAACTTTTTATTTTGACCTATTACTGTGCCTATAACTAAAATAACTTCCTGGAACTCTAGTAGTCTGAAGACAACTCAGTGAGTTAGTATATAGGTTCTTCTTAAATTACATATTTTCCTTTTCTGTTGGATAAACGTTAATGAACAGAGAATTCTGGTACAGAGCTCAGAATTCTTATACAGTTAGAGATCATCAACATTATAGTTTAATAAAAGCCTCTTTCAGTACAAGATAAATATTCCCCATTTTACTTCACCTTTTCCTGTACACTAAAGAGTTAACTCTTGTTCTTTTGCTAATCAAGAAAAGAAACACTAATGCTTCATTGAGGAGGAAGCTTTAATTGATGTTTTAACAAAAATCATTGTTAGAAGTGAAATAAAAATTACATACAAAAGGTGATATTTTATTTTATAAACTCCAGAGACTTGGCAGTCTGTTTGCAGCTACTGGATTGGAGAACCTGAGTGGTACATAGTTGAGTCTAATGAGGTGAATGTATGTATGTTAAGATCTTTTCCTAATTTGGAAAACTTTGAGTATGCAAGTTGGTCAGCTGGACTTGTGACAGAGAAAGATGCCATCTCTTGTTTTACTTTCATGGGTGGAAAGAAAGCAGTACTTGTATCTATGATGACAAATTGTGTTAATCTTAGTAGCTAGGGTAGAGGACTTGGTTTATAAATTAAACTTGTTGGCAATAAAGTTATTTACGCTAACTCTCACAGCATATGGAGTTCTAGAAGGCTTAGAAGTGGAACAAAACTCCCCTGGGTTGCTATAGCTTCTTGGAGCTCCTTCTCAGGCTCAGTAGAATGCTCAACATCTGAATGCCAATAGGAGCTATGGGCACACAGTACAAGTACTACAACAGTTTGTCTAAAGAGAATGGATGAAAGAGGAAAAATAATAGTCAGCTTGCATGGAACCCAGCTTCTTCAGTCAAGCATGCCTACAGAATAATTTTAATAAATGTTAAAGTTTAAAACAATTTAAAAATCATATTGTTATCAGGATATCAAGTGTAACTACAGGTGGTATAGCTAATGACACTTGCAATTATATTTGCCCCACACTGTCCATTAAAAGACCCTGTTTTCAGTTGCTTATAGCTTTATAAATTTAAACTGTTTGGGTTGAACCCTTCATTGCTGGGTGTTTTGCCTTGAGCTGTAATTTTTTTTTTTTTTTTATTAAGTTTCAGATAAAACAGTTGAGCTCTTTCAGGGAAAAAGGACTAGGAAAAAAATGTTTTGCCTTTAATTTTTCAGCTTGTGCCCCAGTGCTTTGGAGCAAGGGCTTGAAATTTGGCTGGGAGGTTGCCCTGGTGTCAGGGATGTAAATTTTGCAGTTGCTGTGAAAATTTGGTGACATTTGAAGGGTTGGGAAAAATCTTAGTTCACACGTGCTCAATAGAGACTTATTAGATTTGGGCAGCTAAATACTTTAGTGATTCCATCTGCACTGATAATGCTCTGTCCCTTCACAGCACCTATCTGCAATTGCCGGTGCATGTACCATCTCCACAGAGTGACTGAGCATGGTCCATCCCAAGTCTGCAGAGGCTGAGCAGAATTTTTCCTGCAATTGCTCGTCCCAGCTTCTGTGGCACAAGGCATAAAAACTGAGCAGGCATATTCTCTCCTGTGATTTCAATGCACTCCCTCCTAGTGCTCAGGCAAGAGGCACTAGAAAAATGTATTGCTTTAGCTATATCAGTATAGTTAAAGCAGTTCAACCCTTCCTAGGGTGAACACAGTTATGCTGGTATAAAACTTACATTGGTAAAGCTAGTCCCATTAGTGAAGGGGAATAGCATAAGTGAGACTCTTAGTCTCTAGACTCCCAGTCTCTATGATAATACAAATAATAGCTCTGTTGGTATAAATCACCCCCATATCTACATTCACATTAGGGATTTTTACTGGTAATAATTCAGTCCCCTAAGAAATAGTTATCCTGGTAAATTTTTATGCATATACCGGGTCTTGGAGAGGTGGGGAGAGGGGGGAGATGCAGGGTGTGGTGGAGGGGGGGTTAGGAGTAGGATCTGAGCAGGGTAATAGGCAGAAGATGGGTGAGAGGGAAAGGAGGGAAGAGAACATGAGTATGGGCTGGGCATGAGAAACGAGAGGCAGCAGACAAGGAAGGATAGGAATGGGCGGGGGTGAGGAGGAGATGGGGCAGAAGCTGGGGATAGGGGGTGCTCATAGTGGTTGCAGCTCTCATTAAGATAATGACTGTAACAAAACTGCATGCATCAGAGTTTCAACCTGTCACCTGCAGGGTTCAGGAAGGAAATTTTTTCCCCAATGCAAAATTGGCTTGATATGTTCTCTGTGTGTGTGTGTATGGTGGTTCTTTTTCCCTTTCTCTGAAGCATCAGAGAATTCAGCCACAGTTGGGATGGTGGACAAGAGGGACCAGTGCTCCGAGTGGGTACAGAGACTCCTTCTTTCTAGATGCCTGGCTGGTATGTCTTACTCATGTGTTCAGGGTCCAACTGATCACCAGATTTAGTGTCAAAAGAATTTTCCCCCTGGGTCAGATTGGCAGGGACCTCTATGGTTTTTTCCACCTTCCTTTGTAAGTGTGGGTGGATGAGTGGCTTGCGGTTTGCCTGCTCGAATCATTTGGATATATTCCACCTAGACAGTTCCTTGCCATTGCAGGGGCCTCGGGCATTGATTGCACCTTGGTCTGTCCTGTTTTCTGTGTCACTGGCACAGTTTAGTCTTCTGAGAATTGAAATGCGTTGGTCTAGCTAAAGTCTGTGGGCTTAATGTACAGGTGTCTGGGTAAAATTTAATGGCCTCTTATATGCCAGAGATAAGACTAGGTGATGTGATGGCTCCTTTTGGCCTTAAACGCTATA